AAGTGCACTAGAAAGTAGTTGAGTCTCATCCATTCCAGTATAAGTTAATCTTTATTGATATGATGATTCTTAGTTACTAATAAACAACCTTTCTTGCCCAGAAAGATAACTTTTATAAGTGTGGAGTTTTATTCCTTCAGATTTTAACTATTGGACTATTAAAAAAGAGATTTTTCTGAATTTTTTTAGCTCTTTCAATCAATAATATCACCTTTGTTTCCTTTCTTCTTTGTGTTTCACTTTCTAGCTATCATTTAACATTGAATTAAATAGTTTAATTAGTATTTGCTGATTTAGACTCTATGTACCTGTGAGGATTCTTCAACCTGGTTATTTGAAAAGACATGTTGTTGTTTGCCTAGCTCTTATAGGTTATAGATTTGTTATAACCAGCAGTTTTTGGATTCCTGCAAGTCAGTTGCAAAAGCACATGAAATACCAGTGGATAGCTGTAAGGCTGCAGAACTGGGAGTATTACTCCTTTATTGGTAACTACCAAATCCAGGCCATTATTTCAAGTTTTTTTATTCATTAATGGGATGAGGGTGTCACTGGCTAGGCAGCATTTATTGCCCATCCCTAATTGCCCAGAGGGAAGTTCAGAATCAACCACATTGCTGTGGGTCTGGAATCACATGTGGGCCAGACCAGGTAAGGATGGCAGTTTCCTTCCGTAAAGGGCATTAATGAACCAGATGGGTTTTGCTGACAATCGACAATGGATTCACGGTCATCATTAGATTCTTAATTCCAGATATTTTTATTGAATTCAAATTCCACCATCTGCCGTGGCGGGATTCAAGCCCAGGTCCCCAGAACGTTATCAGGTTCTCTGGATTAGCAGTCCAGTGATAATACCACTAGGCCATTGCCTCCCAGTTATGATAAGCATGATATCAAGACCTCGAACACAATGCAGAGTTGAGTTACTAAAATGATTCCAGTGTTGAGGGGCTTCAGCTGTGTGAAGAGATTAATGAAGCTGAAATTGTTCTTCTTACAGCAGACAAAGTCAAGAGGAGATATAGTACAGGCGTTCAAAATAACAAAGGATTTTGAGAGTGGAAAGGAGATACTGTTTCTAGTGGCAGGAGAGTCAGTACCAGAGGTCAGAGATTTAAGACAATTAGCAAAACAACCAGTGGGCAATGAGATGATTATTTTGTACAGGGAGTTGTAATGAACTAGAATGCGCTGCCTTAAAGGACAGTGGAAGTACATTCAATTCTAACTTTTGAAAGGTAATTGAATAAATGCTCGAAGCGAAAATAATACAGTGCAGTGCGGAAAATGTAGGGGGAGTGGGACTAAATGGATAGCTTTCTTTCTGAACTGGCACCGGCAATATGGGAAAAGTATCCTCTGTCATTGCCAGAAAAATAA